GACTGCTCAGACCTTTTCTGGATTGGCCTCAATTCCTCTTCTGCTTACCATATATCCTAAGAACTTTCCTGAGGAAACCCCAAAGGCACACTTACTGGGATTGAGTTTCATCTTATGCCTCCTAAGTACCTCGAAGGTCTCCCGCAGGTCAGTCAAATGGTCTTCAGCTTTTAAGCTTTTCACCAACATGTCATCAGCATATACCTCCATGTTTCTACCAATTTGGTGCTTAAAACATTGCATTCACTAGCCTCTGGTATGTTGCTCCAGCGTTCTTGAGCCCAAAAGGCATTACTTTGTAACAGTACAAACCTTTGTCAATGATGAAAGCCATTTTTTCTCTATTTGAGGTGTACATAGATATTTGGTTGTACCCAGAATATGCATCCATGAAACTTAGTAGTTCGTGTCCAGCCATTCCCTCAACGAGCATATTGATTCCTGGGAGAGGAAAACTGTCCTTCGGGCAAGCTTTGTTAAGGTTGATGAAATCCACATATAGCCTCCACTTTCCATTTGCCTTCTTCACTAGGACCACATTTGCCATCTAGTCGAGGTAGTACACCTCTTGAATAAAGTTGGCTTTTAAGAGCTTTTCCACCTCTTCTGATATAGCCTAATTCTTCTCTGGAGTGAAAGTCATCCTCTTTTGTCTAATAGGTTTGAAGTTAGGATTTACATTTAAGCGGTGCTCCATGATAGTTGAGTCTATACTCGGCATGTCTTCATGCGCCCATGCAAATACGTCTCGATTCTTCTTGAGGAATTGAGTAAGTTCATCTTTGATACCTGGGCAGAGTAAAGACCCTATACTCACTTTCTTCTCAGGCTCACCATCACTAAGGATGACCTCTTCTAGCTCCTCTGTAGGTTCCGCTCTATGAAAGTCTTACCTATCTCTCCCTTCCAGCCTTTCAATCATAAGTGCCTCTTGCGATTTTGTTTTTCTGATAGAGGTAACATAACATTCTTGAGCCATTGTTTGGTCCCCTCTTAGCTCTCCCATACCATATTTAGTTAGGAAACGCATCAGGAGATGGTAAGTGGAAGTGATTACTTTCATGGCATTCAATGTTGTCCTCCCTAGGATAATGTTGTATGATGATGAACAGTCCACCACTAAAAAGTCCACCATTATAGTGACCTGCTTAGGATTGGTTCCTGCAGTGACTGGAAGGGTAACTGCCCCCAGTGGATATACTTTGTCGCCTGAAAATCCCACCAGTGGTGACTTCATGGGTCAGAGTTTCTCTGCCGATTTTCAATTTGTCGTAAACCCCAAGAAATAGTATGTCAACCAAGCTACCATTGTCTATCAGTATTCGTCAAACAATGAAATTAACAACGACCATGAAAACTACCAGAGGGTCATCATGGGGATGGTGAATTCCCTTGCCATCTTATACAGAAAAGGTCATGACCGGCTCATCAACTCGCGGTAATTTTGTTGGAATACTTGTCACTCTAACTTCATTCACCTCTGAAAAACTCCGAATTCTCCTAGCATAAGCCCTCCGACCCAAACTCGTCTCCCCGCCACCAGCGAAGCCACCCGATATAACTCTAATCTCACCCATTGGTTGGTGTTGAGGAGGGCGATCATCTCGGCCCTTTCGGGCTGGGTTAGAGCTTTCTTTGCCATTCCCAGTCGTGAATTTGCGTAAATGACCCTGACGAACAAGGTTCTCGATCTGGTTTTTGAGGTTGAAACAATCTTCTGTGTTATGTCCATGATCGCGGTGGAACCTACAGTATTTATCTCGAGACCTCTTTGTTGGATTAGCTTTTAGCTTTGGCGGCCATTTCATTGATGCGTTATCTTGAATCTGCCGAAAGACCTGCTCTAAAGATGTATTTAGGGGGGTGTAGTTATTATACCTATCTGGGCTCACTGGACGATGAGAAGATTTGTCAGCCTGGCTGTTTGAGAATTTCTTGTACTTCGATTCCCTTTCCTCCCTAGTGCTAGGTGCTGGCCTCTTTTTATCCGACCTCCTATCTTCACCATCTTTGTTTTTTCGTGCATTTATAGCATCCTCAGCATTCATGTGCTTCGGCGCTCTAACCATTAACTCTGTTATGCTCGTAGGGGCTTCCTTTGACAAGGAAAATAGGAACTTAGAGATCTGTAGTCCTCCTATAAAGGGTGTGAGGGCAACCTTGTCATCCACCTCTTCTACCTGCAGCATTTCAGTGTTAAAATGACTTATGTAATCACGAAGAGGCTCTCCCTTCTGCTGCTGCACATTCAATAAATGTGTTAATGGTCTCCTATACCTTTGCCTAGTGATGAAGTGTCCTATGAATTGTTTGCTCAACTCTTTAAAGTTTTCAATGGAGCCTGGCTTTAATTTATTGAACCAGAGACGAGCCCAACCCTTTAGTGTGGTAGGGAAAACCCTGCACATAATCTCGTTCGGTACGGCTTGAAAATACATAAGAGCTTTGTAGGTCTCCAAATGGTTGAGAGGGTCCCGCGTCCCATCGAAGCTCTCAAGAGTTGGCATCTTGAATTTGCTAGGTAGAGAACAACTCATAACAGCTGAGCTAAAAGCCAGGTTGGTCTTCTGTACCATATCATTCACTGCGGCCTGGCCCTTCCCTTTCATTGCTTGCATGATATCTTCAACCCTAGCTTTCAGATCCTGTATCTCTAGATCCAATGAGTGACGTCCTCAGTCTTGTCACCAACATAACTAGAAGTATCTCCACGAAGCCTGGTGGTATTCCATTCTGGAGACCGATATGGCTCCTCTATTGACCCCCTATTAACTAAGCTCAGCGTCGTTGTTAATCCTAAGGGAGTCATTGTTGGGTACTTCACTGTTTCTCTCCTCGTTGGGGGCGGCTAAGCATTGCAGAATCATCGCATTTTGCTGGACTAACTAGTTCATTCCCTCATTTAAGGTTTGAACCTATTGTTCCAATGCTGCGACGCGTTCCTGATTGTTTGGGATAACGGGGGGTTATCCCGTCGAGTCCCTGTATCAGAAGCCTGCAACGCTTCATCCTCGCCAGCAGCCAGACTAGATCACAATCGAACCATGCTTTGTTTAGAGAACAAAAATTTTTTCCCACAGACGGCGCCAATTGTTGATGATGGATTCTGCGTAACCCGGATCTGATCTGACTTCCTGAACAAAGAGAAGAAAAGGTGATCCTACAAGCATCAGTGTGTTACCGGTGGAGTAGGCTCCAACGAACAAGTTAGTGTGCGAAGTAATCTCTTTAGAGAAATCAAGAAATTGAGTTAGGGTTTATTGCATACCTCAAAACGTCGATTAGCCCCCTTTCTTTATAGGGCTTTGGTCAGGATGTCACGTAAAGTTACCATCCTCTTCATCCTTGTCGTAATCTGTAGATTTAATTCTTATCGTAGTCTGTAGAGCCTATCTCAATTGGTAATCCTTATCGCAATTTGTAGAGCCTATCTCAATTGGTAATCCTTATCGCAGTTTGTAGAGCGTATCTCAATCTTATGAGCTAGTTCGTTAATTTAACAACCTTCCCTTATCCACAGGTATTTAAATTATACATCCATCACAAGTGATGCGGCAAGAATGGACATGGATTGGTGACATAATTGAGTAAAGTTTGACCAAAAGTCAAATTCCCAAAGTCTTTTTACATATGACACTTGCCAGCAATACAAGAGTAGTTAGTAGACTAGTTAGCACTAGTTTCAGAAGAAATAAGAATAGATTGAGAAAATCATGGGAAGTTAACTAGTCACTAGAAGTTACAAATAAGGAAAGAAGGAAGTTACTAGGGCTCATGGAAGAACCGTCAAAAGTAGAGTATATTATAAATAGAATTTCCGGACAACACATCAACATACTTGACTTATCTTTTCCTTTCCGTTTATAGTTCTTCATTTTCCGTTTATAGTACTGCATTTTGAACACTTCAACTTTCACCAAGTAGTTTAGTTTTTCGATTCAGTCTTTCAATTCCCTTATCGGTTTCTTTAATTAATTTCTTCTCCCACAATTTGTACAATTCCGAAGTCCTTGAAAAAGGCAAAAAGAACCTACAAAGGGTGATCATTCCAGACCCTTTTCACAATCGCCTGATAGAAATTGTTCGGCCTCTATTGGATTCATTAGAATCATGGCACGCCCATGCATTTTACGACCAAACAATTATAACCAATGGCCTTGTGGCCCAATGGTATCTCTTTTATCTCCTAAATGGATCTCCAAAGAAGTAAAATGAGTGTGTGAATGGTATGTATGAGTTTCTTGACAAAAATATAAATTTATTATAATACATTGAATGAACTTCTAAAATATTTTAAGAACTCATAATAATTATAGTAAATATCCAGTTTTAATCAGACTTGGTTCTAGTTTGACACAAACATTTTGGTTTTTTTTTAGAGTAATATATCCCTTCGGCTACATGATCTTTGCCTCAATTAAAAACCCAGGGGCTTACCCCATGAGAGACGAGTCAAAAATCTGTCCTTTACACTAGATGGGGAAGTCTACTACTAACCTTAACAAACGGGACTCTATTGAGTTGATCTCAGCCCTCGGCACCCTATAATACAGGTGCATCTATAGTTGGAGAGACAAAAGGCCAAGAACCTCTCAACCCCTGGTCAAAACAAACATGACTAGACGCCAACCTCAACAAATGGAACTCGATTTTGGGTTGATCTCAGCCCTCGCGCAATACACCTATAATACCGGTCAGCATTTTTCTTAAGAGAAAAGAAAGAAAGTCGAGCCCCCTCCCCATTTTGAAAGAGGAGGGGAGGGAAGAGGTTTGAATTGATGTGGACAAAAGTGTGGGTGAGAGTATTTACTGAACCCAAAAAATAAAAAAATAAAAGAACCAGCAGAATTTCCGACCATATTAATGATGAAGTTCTTGGTTACCATAACAAACAAAAACAGAATTAAATAAAATAAGGAAAGCTAAATGGATTTTCTTTTTTTTCTTTTATGGTTATTGAAAGCGAAATGACAGAATATAAATTGAGTAAATATTTTTACCCATTTGCTGTATTGTTTAAATCCCAACCGCTTAAATTTGCTGCCTCCACCAAAGCTGCCCTCCACCTTTGCACCTTTTCCTTGTTGTTGCAGAATCTTTCATCATGTTTGGCAAAGGCTTCTGCGAAATTCCCTGTTTGTTTCCGTACTTCTGCAGGATCTACGTTGTAGAAGACTGGCAAAACTGTTTGTCCGTTCTTGCTGCATTCAATGATCTCCACCAATTCTTCCAAGCACCATGAGGAAGAAGCATAGTTCTTTGAGAAAACGATGACTGCAAATCTCGATCTCTTAATAGCTTTAAGAAGTTCCGGAGAAATCGATTTTCCTCTCTCGAGTTTCTTGTCATCTTTAAAAGTGTAAATTCCTTTTTGTTGCAGACCTACGTAGAGATGTTCCACAAAGTTCTTACGAGTGTCTTCACCCCTAAAACTCAAAAAGACATCGTAAATCCATTGAGAGCAAGAAGAAGAAGAAGCCATATGTTAACAGCTTTACTAATTTGTGAATGCAAATCAGTGTTTTTCTGATACTTCAAAAGATCTCTCCCTTGTTTTATTATATTTTTTCGTTCCTATATTCTCTGCTTTTCTCTGGAGGATATCCGTACATATAAAGAAGTCGCCAGGCATTTTCCGTGAAACCTTTTTTTTCAGAGTTAGTGGAGGGTATCCCTTCAAAGTTCTGTAGTGAAGTCCTTTTTGTTGTGAAAAGACTCGAATGCAAGTGGTTAATATTTCAGAGTAATAATACGGGAGGCAGTGGGTCCTGCCTGAATGAAAGGCTTTTGTCTGCTGGAAATTATTCAGATTTTGTTTGTGTTAATTTAAATTTTTCAGAATTATTCTTTCTTCAATTGAGCATAAAAAATTCAGTATAAAAAATAAAAAATATGAAAATATTAATCAAAATATGAATTTTTAAGAATGTAAGTTCAAAATCAAAATTTAGCATAAAAACACTTAAAATATATGAACATATTAATCAAAATATGAATTTTTAAGAATGTAAGTTCAAAATAAAAATTCAGCATAAAAAATAAAAAATATGCATATACTGTATATTTTTTTTTATGATACATCATCTTTCAAATTTTATAAATATAGTAGTAATTTTAAATTTTTTTGGTAACAATTAAGCTGTGTAAAGCATTACACAATTGTATACTAAAATTATACAATAATTAATTTATAACTTTATACTTAATAAAGTTATAAATAAAACACTAAAAAACACAAATACTTGCCAAATATGTTTTGTTCTCTTATTTCTTGAAATAGAATACCTTGCCAAACATGTTCTACCATGTTTCTGTTTCAAAATTCTCACCCCAAATTTTCGTCGCCAAACATGTTTTGTTCCCATTTCAGAACACCACATCACAAAACACTAGTTCTGTTATAGGCTAGAGTATTACACTACACCACACAACACTTCCCAAACAAGCCCTAAAATAGTACTACTCAGTTTAAATCACGCGTCCTACGGAAAGAAGTGAAAAGGAAATTACACCTTGCCCCAAGTAATCGATTGTCCCAACACCCTGCCAAAATTAAGAGTCAAATCAAAGTATTCACTACCTTTAATTCTCGAGCGGGTGATTATATTTGCGCATTATTTAGCTCACAAGACCGATGGAGTTTGCGGGCGTGCCAAAATATGTAAATACTCAAAAATAATTTGAACACCAAATTATCTTTTTTGGTGGCTGACTTCAGGTAATTGTGCAAGAGAGAAAATAGAAAGAACTCTCGGCTAAATTCTTTTTCTGCCTTGATGTAATGACTTTTTATATAGTAGTGTTTAAAAGAAAATAAATGCAATGTAAAGTAAAGAAATTTAAATAAACTGTTTGAATTGAAATGGACTATAAAGGAACTGGCTGAACTGAAATTGACTGAAAAGCAATGAGTGCAATGGAATGAACTGGCCGAATTAAAATGACTGTAATCTGATCAAAGATTGTCATTGAATTTGATTGCATAAAACAATGATTAATATGTAAATAACATAATTAAACATTGCAAGAAAAATGATAAGTTGCTGGAACTTAAATTCCTTGAATGGAATTTGCCATTTGGATAGAGAATTTTATTGATAATTAACGTAAAGTCATTGAATGAATTTGTGATTCATGTTTAGTGGGTGGTGCTAGACGGTTTGGAAAGAATTACAATTCTTCCATTTATAGAAGTCTCAATCAACTTATTCTCCTAATTATTTGCTTCATAATCTTCTTTTCCTTGATTTTTTTCCCTTTCGTAATTCAAATTGGTTCAACCTTGGTATGTTTTGCCTTCTGTATATCTGTTTTAAGAAAGTCTTCTTTGTCATTTGCTAAAAAACTCCCTTGATCTGGTTAGCTTCAGTTGCTAAAAAGTTGCTAATTTTTAGCAACTTCTTTCTATAACTCTGGCAGCCATTTCATTCTTTAAATGACCCAGCCTTTAATACTAGTTAAAGCCACTTGTCTTGTTCAGATTTGTCCACATCACTATTGACACGGCTGCCATCTTTTATCATCTTTCCTTCTCTCCTCCAACTAGAATTCCTTTTTCATAGGTATTTAGTTGTTTTAATTTAACTAAGTCTCTAGTCTTTCCTTCCCAATTAACAACCTAATTTGAATAAATTCAAATGTTAGTTGCTATATCTTAGCAACTACCTTGTCGATGAAGTGGCTGAGTATTTTCCCCTATATTTGCTCCCGATATTTCTCCCCTGGCTAAATCTTTTGATGTCATGTTACAAACACTTGTCAGCTTCTCACTGGCCTACGACATCGCTGAAATGGCTACCAATTTTTGGTGCCACCAAATGCCCCATAAATTTCAAAGCCTTATAACTCATGATAAGAAGCTTGTAATTTAAACCCAACTTGAACTTGAATTTTAAATTTTAGTAATAACTCTCCACCTACCTAACTAACTGCCTTAATGATAATCATTACCCATTTACAGATGCGAGTGGACTTACCCAGATCAAATATTGACCCCATCACAGATATATAGCTCCGTATTCTTTCCTAAACTCTTAACTTTCATCTTCTTTCCTTTTGAGTTGTAACAACAGAAAGACCTCCTTCTTCCTTAGGCTTCCATGGCTCCTAAGAAAACTAAATCCACTTATTCCACCTTAATTCCTCAGTCATCTGACCCTTCATCCCATGGCAATATTATTGAAAAATCCCTCAAAACTCCTTCCGCCTACAAATATTGTCTCAACACTCTCATTGACCTCCCCACTGATTTCAAAGGTTTAGGGCCTGCCTTCATTGATGAAGCCCTATCTTTTATGTCACCTTTCTATCCTTCAGCCAATGTGCTTCCATTCCTACAAAATTTCCCCCTAACGAGAATGGCAATTTGCACTCGTTCCATTTTAGGACATGGCATGTTCATAATTATGCTTGGATTAACTGGGTTGATCGTGTTGGGGCTGTGAAGGGAGAAACTTGGAAGAGCTGTGGCATTTATGACGCCATTCAATTAAGTAGGACCAATATTGCTCAAAACAAAGCCCTAATTTTAGCGGCCGTGTTCAATTGGTTAACTACAACCAATTTCTTACATTTGAAGTGTGGTATGATGGCACCCACCATCCAAGATATCTGCTTTCTAATTGGTCTCAAGCCTTTTGGGACTGATGTGAGTAGCTTGTTGGTGGAAGAGAATTCCCCTTTCATTTTTTCTTCCAAAACCACTAGAACCAAGACGTCTGAATCCTCATATGGTAAATTTCTTACTTCTATTATAGACCATCTCCTTCCAGTTAATGATACTGAGCATGTTGATTTCTTGTTGTCTTGGCTAAATAAATTTTTGTTAAATATCCCAGTGATAAGTGATCAAATGTGATGCATTTTTAGCACCTAAGCTAGGGTATTTTAGTCCATTCATCTATCTTACTTTCATGTCTTAGATACTTATTTATGTTATTGCCTATTTCAGGTGAATAATGTTCAAACAGGCTAACAAGAGCCAATTAGATCATTTTTGGAGCTAAGGAGCAACGTTGAAAAGAAGCCAAGAAAATGCACCAGAGGAACTTCGATCGATCGAAGAGGAGTTTCGATCGATCGAAATGGTCTCCAATCGATCGAAATGAAGTCAGTACCAGCTCAGCCAATGGGATAGACTCTGGAAGATATTTTGGGTGCCACGTCAACTTCGATCGATCGAAGCTCTAGTGTTCGATCAATTGAACATCTTCGATCGATCAAAAATGCTGCTGGCAGTGAGCTGTCTAATTCTAGAGTGATCCATTTTCTACCTAACTGTGCAAGTTGCAAATTTCCTCCAATTAGCGGCTATTATTCTGACTTGGTCCTTACTCAAAGGACTGTAATTGATATTATTGAACAAGAATTGTAATAGCTAGAGAGTTTTTGATTTACAAAACATAGAATAAAAAATATCTTGTGCTCTCTAGAACTAGGGTTTTGGGAAGAAAGTGAGGATGAAGATGATGATGCCAACCTCTAAGCTAGCCCTTGAGGGTTCCATAACCACTACAGTGAATGGCTAAATCCTTCATTTGGGGTTAGAGATAGCTCCTAAGTTTGCTTCCTAGGCCTAGTCTTTTTTATATTTTTGGGGATTTAATTGTAACAAATGTTTTGATCTTGGATTAATATATATCTTCTAGTTTCTACTTGATGTGTATGGATTTTAATGCTTTTAATTGATTCTCTATCTCTAATCATATGTCTATGTATGCTAGAATGGGTGATTCATGTGCTTTTCTCTAGATTTAATGGAATTAATGCATGTCTATGTGTGTTGATAATGTTAATCTAGAGATGATCAAAACATAGTGCTTAATTGAACATTCTTGGGATTTATTTGATGGTTCACACTTGTTTCTTAATGGATTGTGCCACACGTTTAGTTTAATTAGTTTAAATTTCATGTTTCTAGCCAAGATGTAGTGTAATTGCTTTAAATTCTTAGATAGGTGGACAATCTATTATTGTTTCTTGGTGTTTCTTACTTATGAATGCAATAAATTGTGGTTTTATTGAATGAAAATTGGTCTCATTTGATAGGTTGTGCTTTTCATTAAATTGGCTAGACAATCTATACTTATGTGTCATCCATGCTTAGTATCAATAAATGTCACACACATACCCAAGTTACAATTTAATTTTCCCCATTAATGTACAATTGCTAGTGTTTAGTGAAGTCAAGCTTAGAGGTGAACTCTAAAGCCCCAAGTCCTCTTTCCTATATCTTTTCTTTACTTTCTAGATTGCTCTCTTTTACTTGAATTAATTTTAATTGCATTGTAGTTTAATTAAACAAACCACCAATCATCTTTGATCACTCGACCTACTAATACGACATTAATTTCCGTCATAAACACACCTCATTTCCCTTGGGACGATCCTCACTCACCCTAGCTATATTTTTAGTTAGAGGTGGTTGCGGTTCTCTATAAATTTTTAAGCTTTGGTTGGCGACATACCAAGTTTTGGCGCCGTTGCTGGGAATTGACACCATCATGTTTAGAAATTAATTAGGAATTAGTACTTTTTTTATCTTGTTTTTATTTTATTTTTATTTTATTTTTGTTACTTATTGTGTTTGCTCTTGATTGGCTAGGTGCAATGAGCCAAAGAGGCAAAACAAAGGGAATTAAAGAAGCAAGAAC